CCACAGTGCCCCCCAAGCCCAGATAAGCAAAAGCACCTCAGTTGGAGCAACTTCCAATATCTAAAGGAATCACCCTGGGTAGGAGAAAATCCTGATCTACAAGCAATCTAGTCTAGGAATATTCTGTCCAACATTTTTGTGCTAAAGACCTGTTCAGTTACCTGTGGATGTCTATGGACATCTTCTGAAAAGGATGTTTTCATTTTTAAAATTGTATTTATTTATTTTTATGTGCGTGAGTCTTTTGCCTGTACACATGTCTGTGTGTCATATGTGTACAGTGCCCATGGAGGCCAGAAAGGGACATCAGATTCCTAGAACTGGAGTTACAGACAGCTTTGAACAGCCATGTAGATTCTGGACATTGAACCTGGGTCCTCTGGAAGAGCAGCCAGGGCCCTTAGCTGCTGAACCATTCCTCAGCGATTGTCTGGGGGCTGACGGTGTATGAGAGGTGACAGCTAGGTGCAGAGTTCCCCTCTGGGATAATGAAAGTCTTCTAAAATTATGATAGTAGATAGAGATCAATTATAATTCACTTAATTATGCATTTTAAGTTGGTGAATAGTATCATGTATAGATTATATCTCAATAAATCTATCTAAAAATGGATGGCAAAATTTTCTTAATTTTATTGAAACATCACATGGCTCCTCATTAATCTGTATAATTTATATATTTTTATTTTGCTTTGTTTCTTGATATTGGGTTTTACTGTGTAGCCCTGGCTGTCCTGAAACTCACTCTGTAGACCAGACTGGCCTCAGATTTACAGAGTTCCACATGCCTCTGCCTCCCAAGCAGTGGGATTAAAGGTGTTTTCCTCCATGCCTGGTTAATTTTTATTTATCTATTAATTGAAAATAGATTTAATTAATACCTTCTGAAGTCCCAGTCAGATTGAAAAGTATAAATGCAAAACACTAACAGGCTCAATGAATCTTAAAAGCGTAATAAAACTACATACACCATAGTCAACTTACTCAAAATGAATCATAAAATCTAAAAGACCAATGAGAGAAAGACACCTGGCACACACAGTGGGAAGAAGATGGCAGCAGATTTGCTGCTGGATGCAATGTGAGACCGAAGACAGCAGGGCAAATCCTTTAAGACAGGAGGAGAAAGAATGTCAGTCCAGAACGTTTCACCCAATGACATTAGCTTCAAAATTAAAACCGGCTGGCATAGGAGGCTCCAGCTGACCCAGGCTCAGGGAACGTCTCAGAAAAGGGGGCAATGACACGACTGTTGTGTTCACGCAGTCACCGCAGCTGCGGTTGCCTCCACAAGACTGAACCAGTCAAAATTCCCACAGAGATGGGGGGTCCAGGCCCCACCCCTTAGTGAGGAGCTGTTGGCAGTCGAAGGCGGCTGGGGGAGGGAGAATCGTTCTTGATTGTAGATGTGTCTGCTAGTAGCTTCCCATGCTCTAGTGGATGGTCCCACACCCATGCACAGCGCTAACTGGACTTAGCAGATTATTTAAAAAACAACAACAACTACGAAATTGTGAGGAGGATCAGAGGATTGGAGAGGAGAAATGACTGTATTTTGTTGTATACCAATATTAATTTCTCAGGAATAGAAAAGCTGTAATAAAAATAAAATCGGTGTGATGGGTTACAACTTCACACCACTAACATGGATGCTATCCAGAAAATGGAAAATAACAAGTGTTAGTAAGGATCATGAGGACCTGGAATCCTTGCCTCACTACTGAGAAGGTGAAGTGATGTACCCGCTGTGCAGAATGGTGTGGTGGCTCGTCAAAGAGTTAACCATAAAATTACAACAGATAATCACCCCAGATACATCCTCAACTGAAAACAGAATTCCAATGAAAGCCTGTATCCAGATGCCCATCACAGCATCTCCACTACAGCCAAACGGTAGAAATAACCCAATGTCCATCAGCTGGTGAGTGGGTGAGCAAAATGCGGCACGTATGTACAACAGAACCCTATTCAGAGAGGCAGAGAACACAGCAGGGCAGCCTTGATAGAAGTGTGCTGAGTGCAAGAAGCCAGTCTGTGCAGCTCAGATTGCAAGTACACCGTGGATACCCAGAACAGCAATCTTCAGACACAGGAAGAAAAGCAGATGCCAGGAACAGTGAGACTTCTCAAGTGTTGGGCTTCCAAACACCGAAGTGAGAACACTGTGGAACTACAGAGGTAATGCAGTATTGTGCAGTATTGCAAATGCACTAGATGTCGCTGAGTCAGACAATCTAAAAGGTTAGACTGGTAGACTTTGTGGTTTGTATATTTTATCACAACTTTCCAAACTACAAGGAGATACATCTCATGAAAGTGGTTAAATGGATGGATATGGCAGTGTATGCCTGTAATCCTAGCACTGGAGAGGTTGAGACAGGAGGATGGCAAGTTTGTGGCCAGCCTGGGCTACAAAGTAAGCTTGAGGCCAGTCTAGGCTACATGAAGAAAGAAAGGAAAAGAGAAAAAGAAAAAGAAAGGGAGAGAAAAGAAAGGAAGTGATGTTTTTCTGTCAGCTTAGCAACTGTACATGAATCTACTGATATTTTAATTACCTCTGCACCCCACAGCTCCCCAATCAGCACTCTGCTGGTCACTCAGGTCATGCCCTGGAGGGACTTCTGGTCAGGTTTAAACTAAGTCTCTATGGTTTTATTTACCATCAAAGACTCAAGAGTCAGGTGCTGGGGTGAAAACCTTCTAGCTCAGAGAGGCCAAGGAGCAACCACTGACCTTCCTCCTTAGCTGGCAACCCAGCAAGAAGGACTGTCTTCCACCGCCCCAAACCAAAAAAGATCACCACACTCCAATCCCTCCCTACTACTTCTTGTACATTTCTCTATTTGTTTTCTGGACTCTATGAGTACTTCCTGTCAACTAGTTGTTGGCCCCAACTCTTGACCCAGGGTTTCATTTCATTAATGCAAACTCAGAGTTCACAGTGTGATCAAATATCCCACAAAATTTCCTCCTTTTTGTCTAAATAAAAAGGAAACTTTTTTATTAACTCTAACACAGTAAAACTATATACAATAAGAACAATTATCAGGTAAGAATTACATTCACAATGTCAAGTCCATTTGTTTGGCAACTTTGGAGAAAGTACTCTATTATCTATCCTATCCTGGTGAGTCCAAAGTTTTGTACCTAAACCACTTTCTGTCATAACTTGTATTACCAGCCAAAAAATATATTTTTAGACCGTAAAACATTTTCTTAGTTAAACAACTTAAGCTTTTATGTCTCTCAACCTTTATAAACTTTACATCTCATTTATGAGTTTCTTTTTTGAAATTGGTAACAAGGATAACTATCTAGCCTTCAACCCCATCAGAGACCTGAGAAGGATAAAATACTGCCAGAGTAAACAGGAAGTACAGAGCAAGCAATTTTAAAAACTGTACAAACAACAGAGACAGTTGGCTACCTGGACAGTCACCTAAGATTCCTCTGCAACATTGGAACATCCATTGGCCTACAGGCCTAGAATATCTGACAGACTTTTCTGTGAAGCAGGAATTTTGAAGGGCTGGCCTACCTTGTCTAGGCAAAGTTTGGCAATGGTTTCCTTTGTGTCCTGCTTGTCCAGTTTGGACAGCATACTGTCAGCAGTCAAGGCAAGGGCAGTTTCTTGTCCAGTGGCTAGTTTTGCCACATTTAAAGAAAACTCCATATGGAAGTTCTTTGATGCCCATCATTTTCTTTGAAGTAGATTGGTGCTGCCAGGAGCAGACATATCTCACTGTCATGACAAGCCTTATGTTAATAAAACATATTCTGTAGATCTATGAAGTATTTGAATGCCACCTATCTATCTGAAATATATCTCTTTAACCTTGAAAACATACCTAACATGACTTCAAGTTTGATTGTTATAGGTGACTAACTACTAACCTGCATTTAACTATCCTAAACAGTTTGTAATATAAGCTTTCAAAGACTTGAACTTTACATTTTATTTTCAAATGAGTTGCATAGGTACAACACCTTAAACAAGAGTAAAAACATATATACAGTATGTTATAACAAAAATAACCTTCAATTTGTATCAATATACAAAAATCCATACCAATGTAAAATATTTGATACTAGTAGTTGCTTGTTTAGTTTAAAAGTATATTCATTAATCTGCCCTTTTATCCTATCATTCATATATCCCCCTCATTTTCTTTTCAGAAAGAGATCCCTGCATCTAACCTCCTTTGCTTAGTTTTTTCCCTGACTATGACCAATAACAACTTGCAATCAACCCCCCTAGACAACGGCAAATATCATAACCCACTCCCATTTCTTGGGAATGTGAACATCATGTTCTTAAAATTACTTCCTGCTGTGTTGGGGCAATGTCATCTTTAGGGGACCCTCAGAAAATTGGGGCAATGGTCAAGTCCTAGAAGAGCTAGCTGTATCATTTATTGTTCAGTCTCTGTATGATGGGAAAGTTCAAGGCTTAACTGAAGTCCTGGCTAGAGTAATCTGTGAGGCTAGATCATCTTAGCTAGCCACTTTGAAGTTATCCCAGATGCAGATTTTTGAGGAAACAGCAATGGAGGCATTCTGAGAAGCTGGATCATCTGGGCTACTTGTCTTATCTTCATTAGCATCTGGTCCTTTTGTTCTGAAAACACACAAACGTTTAAAGGTAACAAACATATCTGCATTAACACAAGTATGGAATGTGTAATGTGAACAAATCAACTATCTGCTCTATGTTAGAGCAGGTAAAAGGCATCTGTCAACTTTATTTGGACTGCATAACCAAACTGTATTATAAATCTCTATCCATGATATATAAAAGGATGATGGCATGTAATAATAGTCTTAAGGACTCTGTAGCCAACAAGATTTATCATGTCTCATCCAGTCTCAGAGCTGTTCCCATGTAGAGGGATCAGCATACATGTCACCTGTCTTGTAATTTTTCTTCCTTCATGTCTGCAGCCAAGATTTTCAGACAATTTCTCCAAGTCAAATCTGATTTGTGTTAATTTTGAGGAAATCCATAGCTTTTTGTTTCCTGTGGAAACAAAGGCATAACCTCTCCCCCAATGCAACATATTTCCTGACTTCCATTCTGAAGTTAAGACATCCTTAAAATATATAGGCTAGTTTACTTCAGCAGTTTTTTCCCCACAACAAAGTCTCTATTGTGTTTTGCTCACTATCATTTTAAAAATTTAAAGTTAATAAAGCACTATGTAATCTATCTCTGGGGGTCTTTGTTAACTCTTTCTGTTTAATAAGCATATCATTTAAAGTAGGGTTGGATCTTCCTATAACTGCTTGTCCTGTAGGACTGTGTAGTATACATGTAATATGCCTTATGTTGCAAAAAACTTATATAAAAAAAAAACTTATTTCATTTTTCCTTGTTCATCTATGTTCCTTAATCCAGTGTTGGCTTTTGCCACACCTTCTGCATACTCCAGAAGGCTGGGGCCTTCTTTTATAATTATGTCTAAAAAAAAAATTGTTTCTAGGAATGCCTTGCCTACAGTTCCTTTTGAAATGACATTGCTTGCCACAGCTAAGACATTTGACATTTTGATTTTTCTTAAAAATTTTAGAGACTACTTCTTCTATTAAAGTTATATCATAAATATGAGATCTAATATCAGCCATATTTCTAATCCATTCATTATCTTGCCTTTAGAGGCCTGATCACCTTTTTGTATCCTGAATTAGCATTTACAAAAGCCAAACATTCAATTAATATTTGTCTGACTTCTGAATCTGATATAATTCTATTTACAACTGAGGTCAATCTTTGCAAAAAAATCAGTGAAGGCTTCTTTTGGGCCTTGATTAATTTTAGTAAATGACTCAGACCTCTTTCTTGATTCTTCAACCTTCTCCCAAGCATTTAAGGCTGCTAAATGGCATAGTTCCAAGGTGTGATCATCAGATTCTAACTGTCTTTGAAATTCAGCATACTGGCCTTCACTTAGAAACTGATCTTGGGAAAAATTAATACTTTTAGCCCTATTTTGTTTTTCTATGGCCCCAGCTTCCTCTTTTCACCATGTTCACCATTGTAACTGAGGACCAGCTTCCAATGTTGCTGAAGCCAAATCTTTCCAGTCTTGAGGATAATTCTATTCTGAGTTGCCCATGAGTTTACTATCTACTTCTCATAGGGTGAGGGCATACCATATGAAAAAACCTCTTAATCTCCTCAAATCTAATATGTCTATAGGATTCCATTTAACTTCATCATTACCTAAGGTTGGTTTTCTAATAACCTTGGGCTGCCTCTCATCAGTTTCATCATGGGGTGGTACAGGAGGTTCTTGTCTAAATTCCTCTGTCCATATTTGAGTATTTTTCTTATTTTCATTAATAGGTCTTTCTAAGGCTTGTATCTTATCAATCAAATTTTCATATTTGGTACAGTTACCAAAACACGTTTTTAAGGATAAATTTTGAATTACCAAACTGATAGTAATTACAATCAGCATCATGTCAATCCCAGCTAGGTGGTTTATCCCCTCATTTATTTTTTTTTCATTTGCAAGTCATCCATAGTAGCACTATACAGAGTCCTAACTCCCTACATTGTGGTATTTCCCATTCTTAACATGAGAAAAATTTTCCTTTTAATATTATTTAACTCTCTCCTTATGGACTTCCTAAGTGTCTCACCAAATCTGCTGATTTCTCAGTTTGTCTGCAGCAACAGCCTAGTTGGTGGCAGGCTGGAGCCCCTCCCACAATGTCCAAGCATGAGCCCACTTTCTGGAGTGGCTATCAGTGGAGTTCATTCATGTGGTCATGCCCAGGTTCACCAAATGATGTTTTTCTGTCGGCTTAGCAGCTGCACATGAATCTACTGATATTTTAATCACCATCTGCAGCCCATGGCCCTGCAGTCAGTGCCCCAACTGGTCACCCAGGCTGCAGCCTGGAGGGACTTCCTGTTAGGCTTAAACTAAGTCTCTATTGTTCTATTTCCCCACAAAGACTTGGGAGTCAGATGCTGGGGTGAAAACCTGCTAGCTCAGAGAGGCCAAGGAGCAATCACTGACCTTCCTCCTTAGCTGGTGACCCAGTATGACTCTCTTCTATCATCTCAAACCAAAAAAGACCACCACACACCAAGTCCTTCCTACTACTTCCTGTGTGTTTCTCTATCTGTTTCCCACTCTCCCTCTACCTCTCTATGGGTACTTCCTATCAACTAATGGCTGGCTCTACCTCTTGACCCCAGGTTTTATTTAAGTAATGCAAACTCAGAGTTCACAGTGTGATCAAATGTCCTGATACAAGGAAGGAAGGAAGGAAATTAAAGTGAAAGGAAGGAAAATGGGGGTAAGGGTCTGCCTGACCATTACTAGTGCTGAGAAGCATGTGACAACACCAGAACCCTCCCCCTTTAATCACTGATAGGAAAGATGCTATCACAGTCACATGGGGAAACAGTTGCCAGCTTCTGAAAAAGTGAGTTAACCTAACACATGATCCAGCCATTCCTGCCCTAGGAACCTCACAAAAAAATGAATCTCTTGTACACAAATTTTCACAGCAACTTCATTAGACTGGCCAAAATCTGGAAACATACCAAACCTGTCAACACAGGAATGGGTGAAGAAATGGTAATATATCCATATGATGGACTACTTCTCAGCAATATAAAACGAATGAGCTATTGACATGTTCCACAGCCTGGATGGCTTTGAATCAGTCTGAAAAGAAGTCAGACAATACTGTGTTTAACACTGGAGATTCCATTTATGTAAATATTTAGGAAAGATAATTTAAGCTTTGGTGACAAAAGCAAATCATTGGTCCCCATGGTGGGTGGAAAGGAAAGAGGGCCTTTAAAGGGACACAAAGTCATGGATGGTGATGCCTACCTGTAGTTCCAGCATGCTGGAGGCTGGGGCAGGAGGACTGCCATGAGTTTGAGGCCATCCTGGAACACATAGCAAAAGCCTACTTGAAAAACCAGGGGGAACACAATAAACTTCTGTAGGCAATGAGTATAATCACTGGCATGATTGTGGCAATTATCTATGATAAATGTTTTTATATTTTTTTGTTATTGAGAATTTCATACATGTATATACATACGATCAGATACACCCCATTTCCCCCTTCAGCTCACTCCCATAGCTCCCCAGCATGTCCCCTCCCAACCTTATGTCTTCTTTTATTTATTTTTTATAAGCCTCTAAGTCCAGTCAGTGCTGCCTAGAAGGGCACGGGCATAGGGCCATCGAATGGAGCATGGGAAACCTACCAGTGACCACACTGTCCAAAATCTGCTTCTCCCTCCCCCAGTGGCTGTTAACTTCCAGTAACAACACCTCAGTGTAGTGGGTGGGGCCTGGAGATCTCCTCCATCTATGCAGGGATTTTGGTGGGCTTGATCTTGAGCAGGTCTTATGCAGGTCGTGGTTCCATGAGTGTGATAGCCATGCCTTATCCAGAAAGACAGCTTTTCTCAGCATTCTCCTCCATCCTTTGCTTCTTACCAAAATTCTTTCTGCCTCCTCTTCCATGACGTTCCCTGAGCCTTGGCTGGGCCAGGGATGGAGGGAGCGCAGTGGCTTGATGCCCCATCTGAGGCTGAGCATTCCCACAACTTCTCAGTTGTGTACCTCTGCATTGACTGCTGCCCACTGCACACGCGCACACACACACACACACACACACACACACACACACACACACGCCACGTTTCATCAAACTGTATGGTTGACACATGCAAAGTCGTAAAAAACAGTTAAAAGTGTTTGTGATAAAGATGTTTAGGGGAGCCAGGCAAAAGTGGTACACACCTTTGATCCCAGCACTCTGGAGGCAGAGGCAGGCAGAGCTCTGTAAGTTCAAGGCCAGCCTGGCCTATAGAGTGAGTTCCAGGACAGCCAGGACTGCAAAAAGAAATCCTGTCTTGAAAAAGGAAAAAAAAAATGTTTCAGGAAGATGTTATAAATTAAAACATATATTCTCTCTCTCCCCCCCCACCGTGTGTGTGTGTGTGTGTGTGTGTGTGTGTGTGTGTGTGTGTGGTGTATGCCTGTGTTCTTGTATGTGTATGGATACCCATGTCAGATGTATGGATACCAGAGGTTGATGTCAGGGTGTCTTCCTCTATTTTTTTTTTTAGACAGCATCACTCACTGAACTCTGAGCTAACCATTTCAGCTAAACTAGCTGCTCCTCCAACCAGTGCTGGAACTCAGGCCAATAAAGCTGGAACATTCTGGAGTGTAAGTTTCCCTGATCTGAGCACAACTGAAGAATTGAGCATCAGATATTCAGAGGTCCAAACACCACTTCTAATCAGAGTAAAGGATAAAGAGAATCACGTGACTACACTTTGCTCCAAGAGGCCTGGAGAGTCTGTCCATCATCCAATAACCAAAAATAAAGGAGAGATGGATATGTGTGAACATTACAAATCTATCAGCATTACCCATGGTATAAAGAAATGTGTTCACACCAATATATTGTAAAGAGACAGCAACAGAACCTACTTGGTAATGTGAATCATCCCTAACCAGAGGGTCTGTCTCCCAAAAGGAGAAAAGGGCTGCTGCTACAGATGTGCCCCAAAGCCCCTCATTCCCCTCCTCCCAGAACAGTCCCTGCACCGAAAGTGGAGACCCCAGATACCTGCTGGGTGGTGACACTATTTGATTCAAAGGTCTTCCTCCTGGCTGGATATGAGCTCTCTTGTCCTCACTATGCACACCATCAAGCCCTTCCTCACTTGTTTATTCACTGTCCTACACCAAAACTCACCAAGCCCTGCCCAGAGGCAAGGGGTCTACACAGTTGCTATGGAAACACAGATGGGGAAGTCCAGCTTAAAAGCATTTTGAACTTGGACCTAGACACTTTGCCCCTTCTTTGGCGATACTAATTCGGCTTTCCACCCTGCCAACTCGGCAGCATAGTAGCTTTGTAGCCACAAGCAAATCCCTCCACCTCTCTGAGGCTCAGCTTCCTTACCTGTAAAATGGGAGTAAGAAGACCTACCACCTGCCAGGGTGGTTGTGAGAACAAGAATGAGCTCACGTCTGTGGGAATGCTTGGTACACTGAACGGTGTTTGGGCCAGGTTATCATCACCATCATCAGTACCACGGCTGTCTTGCAATGTCTAGAAGGGGAGCCCCAGGCTTGGGGATGGCCCAGAGAAGAC